CCCCCCCCCCCGCGCCATCCATCTGTGAACGTACGCCGACAATTTTTCATGCATTGCGGGAGAAGTACGCCGTTGATTGGGCGCAGGTTCGTATTTTTGTCTTGTTGAGGATGTTGGCAAAGGCTAAACTCGACACCCCGTAGGTTAACACGACACCCCGCAACGCGCGCCTGTCCCTCAAAAAGGAAATCACCAATTGATTCTCCCGTGCACGGGAGGGGATGGTGTGCCATGGAACCAAGTCTCGCGCTCGCTCGATGACTAAACCCACTGTCATCATACAGTAGTCTCACTTTTTTTTTTTTAGTGTATATATGCGTGCATCCATCGCGTTGTCCACCTGTGAGGTTTCAGCATGCAGCTATCCTCACAAGTCCATGTGTCCGGCACTCTCAAACACCAATCAACCTGTGAGGTTTCAGTATGCAGCTACACATCCTCACCCAACGCGGCTTGTATCCTGCAATTTCACACATCGGTCAATCTACGAGGTTTCAGTATGCAGCCATCCTCACTCCACTTGCCCATGCGCCACTCGATTGTTTTTGTAGCGCACACCCATTGGGGGCTATATCTTGGGGCTGGCATATTTACAGCACTCTGCCAACAGCGCCAACCCGCATGGGAGGGGGGCACAACGCCTTGATTATGGACGCACTTCGCATTATTTTTTTTGTGTTGTTTATTTTTGACCTCGAATGAGGCCCGTAGGATAGACGGCCAGCAATAATAGTTGTCGTCGAAGTTGATTCAGTCACCGGCCGGTATTTTGGTCGAGTTTTTTGGGCCAAAACAGACACACGTGAAACCACAAACTATCGAAATAGTTGAAATGAGAAAAGAGGCTCGATGGTATCGAACCTCGTACTTAAGGTGAAGCAAACCCGCACAATCCGCACAGCAGTGAGCTAAACTGATATATTGACCGGAAGTATTTTGGGCCTTATCTACATGTAGGTTGAAGTGTTAGCATGTTAACATCAGACAACAGAATGCTTGAAATCTCGCGATCGGAAAATAACTCATGCTTCAGCTAGCGGCGAGCGCTGCCGCATCGCGCAATAATGTTACTACTTGCCGATTGACACAAGCGTAGTCTTAAACGAAACAGGTGAACGTCATGCATGCAGCAAGACAACAAAATAAAAGCGAATGCACGCGCACGGGGCCTCTCTCTGCGGGTCAAGCGTGTGGCGTCCCCCTCGCCCCTTCGCTGTTTGTTGACGTTTTTTTCTTTGTTCTGTTCTTTTCCGCCGGCCTCGGTGCTTTCGAAACCCCGATCATTTTTATCCTGGCTACTGACAGCAGAACCCAAGGAGGACGTAGCCGCGGCGGCAGCATTTTCGTGACCCCGATTATCCAGGGTTGTGTGCGGGGGTCACCGCTAGCAGCCCAGGCGAAAGGTGAGGGCGGGAGGGGGGGGGGGACGCAACCTGCGTGGGCTTTGCGCTGGGAGCACAACGAGACGGGATCGACGAA